TGTAAATCCATTGATATGTTTGCTTTATCATTAATTATTTATAAAAATACCTTATATTAAGGTACCAAAAAATTTTAATCTTTAACTGTCTAGCACTTCAAGCATATAAAATTTTCTATCCAATATTATTTATTTCACAAAGATACAACGATACTTTCAATGAGCACCCTGACGTCTGAAGTAAATATACAAAATCTGGGTATCAAACACCAGATTCCTCATCTACCTCATGAGAACATAGCAATCCATGTGATATAAATTATGTAAAATGATTAGAAAAAAAATGAAATCGAAAACTATGGAGCTAGATAAACAAGTGTGATAGTGCATGCATATGTTTAATAAACTTTTTATGTACACCATTTCATCTATTTGTTATAGATAGTTCTGTAATTTTGTGGTTGCTTATTGATATGTAAAAATGTTGGCAGACTTTAAAAATAAAATAAATTATATCTTGATTATTAATCTTAAATTATTATTTTTTATTAAAAACTTACATTTTATAGATAAATTAATAGGTTTTCATTCCTCTATGAATTTGAAATGTTGAATTCATATTATGTAGATTCTTAACATAAATAAGGTCCACCTAGTTGAGGCATGTAATGTAAATTAAAATTGAAAAATTATATTTCTGTTAAAACTTTACATAATTATAAACAATCATTGTAAATAGGAACATCGTAAAAATCATTATTAGATTGTAGGGGCTTTTGGCTTTAAGTAAACTTATCTATGATTATAAAAACATGAATTTTTGAATATTTTGTATTGAAAAAAGTAAACTATTGTAGTATTTTTACAGGAAAACTTAAAAGTGTGTATTTACAAGCATGTGTGGAATTCCAATAAAAATGGCACTGAAAAAGTCCTTGTTTACAAATTAATTAATTTATCATTATTTTTTCTGATCACTTTTGCATTTGCAATACTATATCGATATTTATCTTAAAGGAAAATAATTAAAAAACCCACTTCAAGCAATTAGTGCTTGAGGTGGGATTTAAACCCATAAACACTCACAGTCTGGGCGTCTGCTAAAACCAATTTAACTACCAGATAACCAGCAGGTTTTGTGAATTTAAGAATTACTTGCATTACTAGTGAGCATATGCTCATTTATGTTTAGGAAGTTCACCAAAACTATATTAATAATACCATTATAGAGAATAGAATAGAAAATTCTTTATTGTTAACATTACACAAGTTATATAGGTATACAAATTTAAAACAGTTTAACAAAATAATGTAACAATTGGCGGCCTTATCGCTTAAAGTGATTTCTTCCAGGCAATCATGGGATGGAGAGAGAGAGATAACAATTTATGAAGACAGGGGTGTAAATTTTATCAATAACATTAAAAAGAAAATATGATCAAATAATAATCTTAATAAAAAAATTATAATTATGAATATTTTTTTTCTGACATAAGTATTACTCACTTTTTTATTTGGAGATTATAATATTATAAAGGATTATTACATCATATCATCATCATGTTTAAAGGATTGTTAAACAGGTAAATATACTGTTTATAAGATTTTATTCTGAATTATTTTTAATTTAAAAAAATTACATAAAATTGAGCTTAGCCGCAGCTCAGTTTTATGTAACATTTGAAATAACATGAGGCTTTCTGTAACCATATATTAAGTTGCGTGCAAGATAAATGTTCAGCCTAATTAGTATTACCTACATGAAAAATACATATTCTACTGTTTTTGACACAAAGTTAAAACCAACCACCAATTTTAACCCAAAGAAAACTGTCATACACTATGATGGGTTACAATTTAGAACAAAAAAAATAAGCCTGTGAATCAGGAGCTCTTGTTCAATTTTGCAGGAATTTATATGTGTAAGTTCTTTTATATCAGTTGAAACTTATACTTAATTTGCTCATAGTCAGCATGGATGACAGCTGCGAGCAGATCTATGCAACTACAAGAATTTAATTTGTATACAACTTAATGTGAAAGATATGTCAAATCATTAATAATTTTCTCTGATCTTACTTATAATATCTAGTCAATAATGACATTTCTAATGGGTTTCTATAACAAACATTGTTTTAAATTTAATCTTGTATAGATTTTCCACAGTATATATTATGTTGCCTTGCTTGATTCGGTGTACAGATGTAGGTATAGCCAGATTTCGAAAGATATTGGATTCATTTCATCATCAATAATTCTCTCTTAAATGTCTACTTTGAGTCGACTATCGTTTATCTTCTTCACTATGTTATTGATACGTATGAATATTTATTTTCAATCGAAAACTTCTTCTTTTATTAAGGGCTTTCGCATAATTCTGCCAATTTCACGTGCGTAGCCAATACATGGTATGAATTATTTTATAAAATTAATTTTGTAAATAATATTTTCAAGTATAATGTTTCACTTTCTATTACAGTTTAATATTACAAAAAAATACACATATGCGGATTGTTTTAGTAGATATCCCATATTAAATTGTCATTTACAATTCAATTTTGTCAATTTCATTCTTCTTTTATTAATGGTATATCTGCGCATTTCACACAATTCTGCCAAAGTCAAGTGAATAAATTAATTTCTACATGTAAAATGAAAAAGTAATGAATGAAAGATTAATTAAAACATTGTCTGTATCATTGTGGTTTGTATTGACAAAAAGTGAATTGGTGTTGCAATATGAAAATCAAACATCGATTGGAAAATAATCGATTAATTCACTATATGTAATAGAACTGCAGTAACATTTATTGAATAAAAAAAACTTTAATATACTTTTAGTTAATTTTGGTGCAATTTTGCATTTTTCCTAAGTTTTACGGACTACTACGGTTGTTGATTCAACAATGCCCAAATAAATAAATATATATATATATTATTATTATTATGTAATTTCCAATGCCCGTAATTGGAAATGTTATATGAAAACCTAATGAAGTCCCATAAAGTCACAATATGAACTATCCATGTAGTTTGATGAAGTCCGATGATATTCAATGAAGTTTAATGAATTCTGTTTAAATGGATTGAAGTTACTAAAGTCATATGCAATCATCATTTAACTTTAACATTTAATTTTTAGTACAAACAAATATATAAATTTAATGATTATTTTTGTTGTACATTCTTTTGAAACGGAGTTGTTTAAAGTAAAGTATACACCTCTGGATTAATGCTCGTCCTAGTCTTGGACTGATTGCATACCTCACTTATTACAGTTTGTTAGTGACCGAAAATGAGTCAAAACTTTTCTGTTCACGACCTACCAATGTAGGTACCGTTTTATTTTACGGAATCATATTATTCACTTTCATGCTACTTTATCTCACATAATAACATTTATTTTGCGAATTAAAACTCGGTATAAACAATAAAATAAACCAACACCATTCGAATTTTGAAACTTAACTCTTTAAGCTTGACGTTATCTTTAGTCGACGCCAGGATTTATAGTATTTCATCTGACTTTTTTGTTAATTAAAAGACTTAATTATATCGGATTTATGCTTTAAATATTAAGCATGTTTAAAGTTGAGTGCTTAATAAAAGTTAGAATTGGGTATATGACGATTTTCTGAAAACTAATTAATTAAAATAGTTGTTTGATACATTATAAACACACTGTCAATATATTACATGAGAATCTGTTCTATTTTCGATGAATATAATTGTTTAAATCTACAGATTCTAAGAAATAAACTTTTATTAGATTATTATCTAACATGATGATAATAGTACGAAACTTATTTTTATAGTGTCAAATACCCATAATGATAAAAATATTAATTATAAATTCGCGTTTTGGGTATTTTCCCTTATAGCTTAACACTTAGGTATGCACTTTCTTAATGTAGCTAATATTCGGGTGTTTCGTCCGTATTTTAAAACGTTCGAATAAGAATATAATAGATTCATTACGTACAGAAATGATAAAAAAATGAAGGAATGAATAATCATTAATCGTCTCCCGTTTAACTAATAATTTCATTTATTTTATTCTGGTAACACTAATGACAGCTGTTTGGTTCGGCTGCGATTTGGCTCCGATTACGTTTCAGTTTAGTAAACGTTCGTTTGATAATTTACGTTAGCGGAATGCAAATTTACAGCAAAAATCGAAACGTAACCGTTACAGAAACGCTATTGATGATCGATCGTTGTAAATTAGTAGAATTGGCCCCCAGTAGTATCGGAGCTTATTCGATGCAAAAATATAAACAAACAATGAAATCTTTCCTCTTTTTTAATATTGGTTTGGATAAAAAAACTGCCCAGAGAAGGTCAGATTCTCGTAGGGCTCCGAATAAATATTACATTTATAAATACCTACACTTTTAACAATTTTCCTATAATACAGCGTTTCCCAACCTGGGGATTCGCGAGCATATGTATATTAGCATGATATCGATTACATAAATGTTGGATATTCTCAGCATGACGAATGTGAGCCCGCAATTACAACTCAACATCAAGGTGTCACAGTGCTGTACCAGGCCGTGCATAAATATAGACGCAATTCATACAAAAGAGCAAAACAGAGACAGTTGGAAACCTTTAAACCGTAATATATACATTACGTCCAGTTAAAAAAAAAAAATGTATAATTTTTTAGTATAAAAACAAATCATTCTAGTGACAATTTCATTATAGCCGTAATCAGTTTCGTAATTTCACAGGCGGATTTCGTCCTGTAAAAGGGTGCATAATATGTGCAATGCCTCAGGTTTTTTATCGCAGATTCACTTTATGTGTTCTCTTAAAAAGCTCATAGTAATAACACGTAAGATTCACTTTTAACACGTAAGATCCCTGCATGATACCAGTGATTCTATCATCGGTGCACTCGAAAATGCTGCGCATTCTATGAGCGCGCGCGCACGTAATCGAGCGGCAGTGATCCGCCGGCATGACCGGTCGTTATACTATAAAACTTCCACACAATATCAGCTGATATCTCGTGCGAGTCGCGCTCGCCTCCCCGCCATCCAGTCACACACAGCAGTCATGTCACGGTAACGCGTACACATGGACGTCGCGAACGGTTCACCGTCGCTGCGGCTGCGCGGTGGCGTAAAATCCAACGGTGATAACAAACATGAGTTGAACCAGTGCACGAGTGCCATGTCCCCGGAGACGCAGCGGCTGCTGCCGCCCACTACGGAGACTATCATGACTAAGCCGTTCCCTATACGAGGTAAACTATGGTGATTATAATAAAAGACGACGTTCGAACTAAAAATACTACGCGCGACGCTGTCACAGCTGCCCTAACATCCAGTTCCCGCGTGCAATAGTAAAAACTAGTGCGTGCGATGCATTCGTTCCACTGCATAAGCTAAGTTCATACAATTTTTCAATTTTTGAGAATGGTACCTAAAAATGTTATTGCGTCGAAATTTAACGCAACAAGGTGATATATTCATAAATCTTTAATCTATGCTAAAATGTGAATGTTTTCCGAAGTCATTTTAATATTTATAAGATACACGTATTTTAAAGTTTCTCACGATTATTCACAATGTTAGACTTGTAAAACAAGAACAACAAAAATGGTTGTGCCAACTTCAACAAAGTAACCTTTAAGTTGATTCTATGAACTTCGTAAGTTACTCTTTGTTATAATACTCGCTAACTCTACGTTGTAGTAGAGTCACAGGATATTGTTTTATTTTTTCCATTCGTTTGTATATTTTACTTTATTAATCTAAACTTTATATTCTTATAACAAAGTAAGTACAAAGCAAATGATTCTTATGAAATAAAATCAAATGGATACCAATGGATAGATATAAACAAAACAAAGATAGACAAAAATCTTCAAGCTGAGAGCACATAATTCATGTGCGTATGTATGTCATGCAATAATATATACTTATATCAGTCAGGTAAAAAATAATACTTATTAACCTGAGTGTAATTAACCCCTATGGGGGTAACAAATAACGTGAGAGATGTGCAAGAGAAAATACAACGATAATAATATAATATAACGGTTTGTCGTATCTAGATATATCTTTTAGGAGGAGGCTGACCTCCATTTAGATGGTGGATACAATCAATTTTCCTAATAAGTAGTACCTAGAGGTCAACAATTATGAAAACTTTGGGAACCATAGACACTGTTTTTATATGAGACTGTTATTATATATATATATATACCATCCAAATCGCCTAATAACTAATAATAAAGACAGTTAATACTTTTTACTGAAACTTTTTAACAATATAATTTTCGCATTGAGATTTTAGTCTAACATTGTAATTAATTTGAAATTCGGCGTTGTACCATTTCTTTTATGGTGGTCTTGTAAAAATGTCGAAACGTAATATTATAGTCCTTCAGAATGTGATCAGAATACTCCCAGACGCTTATAACTTAGCTGCTCTACATTTTTTTTTATAATTTTACTGCTTTCTTTCATCTCATTATCAGCCAGTTGCGCAAACTTCCATTAAAATTGTCATTAGTTTAAAGCGACATCACCGATACGAATGTGTCATTCATTAAAACTTAAAGGCCTCATTAAACCTTAATGGACGTTTGTGCAACTAGACATAAGAATGCCTAAGTTATTTTATAACCTAATTTACCAATTAACTTAATTTATCTTAGTTACCAATAACTGAATTTACCTATTATTTACATAATTGTTGGTATATTTATTTTTTAACTGTGCCATATAAATAAATTAATTTGTTAAATCTAATAACGAGGTAGAATGAAATATGAAAAAAAAAACTTTAACTATATTAAATTACCTTTATTTCTTCTGGGCTTCTAGACAGTTGTTTTTATAGAAAATCAACAATTAAATGAGTCACTCTGTAGCGACGAACATAGTAGCGATTTTATGGTAATTATCATGGTTTGTAAGTAATTAAATAAATACTCTTCTCATTCTGCGTCACTCGTAATCGTCTATGGCATAGACAGACAAATCTATACTCCTAAATATAAAAAGGTAAAGTTTGTTTGTAGAGGGTAATTTTCGGAAAAATTGATCCGCTCATGTAAAGCTGTATCACACGCGGATAACATTAGCTATAATTTACCGAAGTTGTTTCAGTATATTTTAAAGAAATTAAACCAGCGCCTATTAATAACATGAGATTCATTATCCGCGGCTCGTTATAAATTTTATATTATTATATGTTTACCTCAATATCGGCCGGGTGTCTATCGGGGTCAGCGGTTACTCGTCATGTGATGCTGAGATAGGGGGTAATCTATGTAATGAACATGTCTTACTAAAATACATGTTCATGTTTTATATAAATTTAGGTCTAATCTCATTTAAACACACAATTTTATGTTGAACTTAAACTATGTGAAAGCAGAGTTTATTGGGGACCATAACATTTCATGTCTAGATTTATTAATATTACAAATTTTTGAGATAAAATTAAAGTATATTATTTTCAAAGGGAATTTATTAAATTAATTAAACGCTTTATTTTGCGTATACGCCATCACCTATCTCTATATATTTCATATCATTAAAAATAAATTGTTTGCTAATTTGCATCTATTCTGTTAAAAACGTCCTCGAGCTCTTCGACAAAGCAGCGATTCACTTCAAACAAAACCAACTTCAAACATAAAAAATGACGCGACATCGCTGAGTTCGATTTCTAGATCAAGGCTGTTTCATATAGTTTTTTTTTTACAATAAAATTAGGCCACGTATAGTGGACATAACGTCAAATTCTCCAAATCTGTCGAATTTCACCACTTGATTATAAAAACAGAAATTTTATATATTGTGCTTACCTGACGTGTAGGTGTGTGCCAAACCAAGTGTCGTAACTGTTTACTGTTTTAAAATAAAAATATTTTAACCTTATTTTTATAGATTGTGTGTTAATATATAAATTAATGATGCATTTTAAAATTTACCATCCATTTATTTATTCAGCAAGACAAAAGGAGAATTAAAAATGAAGAAAATGGTCGATAATATAAAACAGTAGCGTATATTTTAACAATGAATATACCTGTATATTAACATATTGGCACAGCAAACAATTGTCGTATCCAACATTCATAACGTAATGTTGCAATTATTAATATTAAACTGGATTTTATGTTGAACATACCTGCTTTTTTATGATTTCCATAAAACACGAGTAGCTAGACTTGTCTTAAAGATATGCGTATTGTATGGTAATTAATTACATCATAGATTATAGTTGCAAGAACGAAAACAATGTACAAATATATTTTATGTTATTCTGCGAAAAATGATGAAAATTTACCGTATTAATTATAATTTACCGTATATGAAAATTCATTTTCATGTATCGTAGGTAAATTGTGGCGGGCATTTATTCACAAAATTTCGCTTTATACTTTGCCGAAATAGGATCCATATTTTCATAGACTTCTAACACATCTTTTGAGAAGCCCTAGAACTCACATACATTTGAAAAACGCTACTTTAATGTATTTGATTGTATCTCTATACTAAGCTCCACTAATATTACTTAAAAAATAACATTACAACAACAACAAAAAAAATAGCTAATAACAAACAAAATTAATATCTAAAACTATACATAAATATATATGAGGGTATATTGTTTCGGCTTATGTCGCTACTGTGTTTCATCACAGTGATAAATAGTCTTAAATTAACTTTTTTTTTATATTTAATTGTTTGCATTAAATAGGCTTCAAAACTACTGGACGGAGTTTAAAAATTCTTTTATCGTTATTAAAGTAGAGTAACTGCAGCATATTTGGAATACCAGTTTGTTTTTTGAGAATAAATTAAAATAAAAAAGGGATAGCTTCATAAAAAATACGTTTATTACTTGGAAAACTATTAAACTTTAATATTTATAACTATCATAAAGAACAAAAGTCAAGAGCCTTATCAAAAAACAAAAAGAGCTAAAAATTAGAAATTATGTGAAAGGACTTAGAGGGCAGGTAATTTGGAATATAGTATTGGACATTTGGAATATAGTATTCCAAATTATATTCACTTTATATTATATACTGATATATATTATTATCTATATGTATATATTTTAACAATTATATCTTTTATTAACATACTGTTAACACTTGATCTTACATACTAATAAATTTCTAGTCTTTGTAACAGTTCACGTGTAGTATCCCAAATTAACAATATACTACCCTAACCGAAAACGGCATATCACATTTTGAATTCTAGAAATATTCACAAAATTAAAGTTAAATTATAAACTAAAAAGGTCACATAACAGTTTGAATAATTACACTAAATATTTTATGTTTGAGAGTAAACAATTATCGTTGTTTGCATGCTTACCAAAAAAGTTTTGAAATCTGTCGCTTTGTTTCGTGGGAGCTGGTAGCCGGAATGGTAAAAATGGTGTCCTTTTTTTAATGCTATATGTCGTAGTGCGCCTTACGAGGTTATGTTCACGGTAAAGAAACATAGATGCTGTTAATATTTATTTAGATATCGAAGTATTCCAAATTACCTGCAGTATTCCAAATATGCTGCAGTTCCTCTATTCTTTTTCAAAAACGTTAGTGATGGGAAGCCAGAGCTTCGAATTTCCTATGAACTTTGAGTATATAACTATGAACTAATCAATGATTTTCATTATCATTTAAACCAAAAAGAATTAATTAAACCGACTTCAATAAAGTTTTAATAGAGAGAAACGACTATTAAGAGTGAAATAATGCCACATTTCTTTTTATTTATTTATTTCTTTTTTTTTTAATGGAAGTTTTCACCGATCCATGTTACTTACTTCTCACTTATAATAAATGGGCGCCAGTGGCGGACTAACCTCGTCGGGTGCTCGGAACGTCAACAGGCCCGGACCTACAACTTTTTCTAACCGGGGCAGAAACTTTATATTGCGTTTATTACACCCCCAAAGCTATCACACCTGCTAAAAGTACGACACGCCATAAGAAAGATAATCCCAATTTATGATTTGATCAAAGGAACTTGCAGTAATTTGGAGGTCCCCAGGACAAGAGGCCCGGTGCGGACCCTTCTGCCCCCTTAGTCCGCCAGTGATGGACACCTTCGTCTGTATTGAAAGAGAGAATGATTTTACTTATTCGATTTAAATAAGTAAATTCATTCTCTCTTTGTGCATGCCTCCGACTACATGGTTTATATGATGTTGCATAAAATTTATAACTTGTTCGAGCCTTTTCACCTAGTTGTTTTTCATGCAGGC